TTCCTCGTGGCTTCACAGAAACCATTCCTCTAGGAAGGGAGGATTAGGGCTAACACATTTGTTTTGTCAGAGGGGAGGGAATTGTAGAAAGAAAGTCACATCCTTAGTTGTGTCATTGTGTGTGTGTGTGTGTGTGTGTGTGTACTGGTGCGCGCATGCATGTGTAGTTTGTAAATCCTTACTTCGGCATTCTCTGTTAACAGTGTGTGAACTATGTATTGTTTTTGATATGGTACCGAGCTAAAACTTGACTCCCACCACAATGTCCTTGGCACCTGTTAACTGTGACCAAGTGTTTGTGTGTGTATGTGAGTGTGTGCAAGATGAAGTGCGCGTGTGTGTTTATGTCTACATTTGTACTGATATCCATTTGATGCCATATTGATATCTTAAGTAAAACAGTGATCGGCAATGTCATTGTGATCTTTATGATGTTTTAAAACTGGTCCATATGTTTGTTTGTTTTTTTTTTGCTGCTACTGATGAGTTTTGTTTCTATAGTGTACTTAAATTCGCACAATTAACGCAAAAAAGTTTGAATTAATGCTATTTTCAGTGACTATTGAGTTGTTTTTGCACTTTTTATTTGACCTTTTTTATGGACTTTTTTTTAACCTCACTCATACGATATGTCTTGACCCTAATGTCAGTGTTTGTCATACTGTGTTGCACTGTGAAATTGTCTTTGACTGGCAAAACTATCCCAATACTAAATGGCAAATAAAAACACCTTTGTGAAACTGCGACTAATCCGCACTTTTACAATGACTAACCTTGCCATATTGCTGAGGTATGTGTGTGTACGTGTGTGAGAGCTTGACCTAGGCATGAGCATGAGCAGGTGCGCATGAGTCTTTTTGGTGTATGAGCATGTTTTGGATAAGTAGATGGTATTCATGTGAACTGTGCACAATAGGGGTGCACATAAATTTATTTTGTTTGAAAGGGTAGTTAGAGTAGCCTGCCCCAGCCTACTTTGTATGCATGCTCTGTGTCTGTGTTTCCACCCAGTGTGTGTGTGTGCGCTGTGGTGTATATTTGACATACATTTCAGAGTAATATGATCGCCCTTTACACACCAACACACCACCTCAGATCCACAACAAGAGCACACTATATGTAAAAAAATAATAATAAAAGCTAGGATGCTGCCAAAGAGCAATAGCCTGACTGAAATTTAAAAACAGACAATAAGTAGAGACAAGCTGCTATTCAGTATGTGCATCATGATGATGCAAAGGCAGAGGCACTGCAGGGCTTTTTAGGATAAATCACGGAATAAGACTTTTGACAGCAAAATTTGTCAACAGGGATCTGTATTTTTATTGATCTTCCGCCAGAGTTTTCCTGCAGTCCGACATTTGGCACTTGATCTGACCTAGACTGTGACCACTGAGATAATCACACCCGTCATCGATCATTTAAAATACAAGACAATCTGAACCCCAGTCTAGTTCTGTTTTCACACTCTTATAGTTCAAAGAAGGAAATGTTTTTGGTTGCATGTTAATTTCAGTGTTTTTTGAAACAGTTTTTTTTGTACCTGAAAGATCTGTGTACATTTTCTTTTGGATGACAGTGTAGTTGTCTGCTTCAGTGACAAGAGTTGTGAATATAATGGGTTTGAAGGGATGGAGGTGAGAACTGGGTTTGTTTTTCTACATTCTGTTTATATATATATAATAAAGAGCATGATATTGTTGCAGTTGGGAAGAAAGACTTTGCTACCTTTTGTTTTTCTTAGGACTACTTTGCCAGTCATGTTCCCTTTCTTTTGAAGGTGGGAATGGAAATAAAATGTTTTTGAGTCTGTCGTATGATTTATAGTTTGTGTGTAAAATCTCTTGGAAAATCCAGCTGGATTATGGATAATTGGAAGTAATTCATGTCATGCATGCTGAAGACCGGGTGTTGCCAGTCTGGTGTTTTTTGTCAAAAGATGACAGGTTGGGTTGTGATGTTTCCTGCCTGTGTGTATGTCTACATGTAAAAACATGCACATTTACCTGAATCATCAAATTGGATTTCAACTGTTCCAGTGGTTGTAAGCTTTTGATGTGACTGAATCCAGATTATCTTCACAGGAACTCTGGCCTGACAGATTAGCTCAAGGTTTATGTGGGAGACACAGGAAAAGTTGGTCAACAACTTCACATAAAGACAGGCTTTGACTGTACATATACTCTACTGTATATACTGCTGTCTGTCTGGCTCTGTAGATATAAGTACTTTACTGCATCCGCTCAGGTTTCGGTATTCAAAGCTCTTAATGCACAGAACCAAACAGACTTGCTACATAGTGCTTAAGAACACAGTCACTTCATTTTACCCCATTTCAGTGTTTATTGCTCTGCATACAGATCACTGAATCAATGCAAAGTATGTTTTCAGAATAACTGCTTCACTACCAAATGTTTTAAAAGTGGTGGAAAGAAAAAAAAGGCAGATTTTATATTTATAGTAAAATGTACATGTAGACAGAATCTGAATATTTGTGACCATTAATAGAAAAAAACATGTTACCTCCTCATTATACTCAGAAGCATCCACCCTTTGTCTGTACAGCAGCTTTGGAAACATGAGAGATTTCCCTGTGGAAGTCTTTTGTGTAGTACTGGTGCCTAATATGTATTATCTCCATTTCTTTACACTCCACAGCTACTCTGAGGCCACATAAGCAATGTGAATAAGCTGCCTGTCTGTAGGAAATCTCCCTCAAACCACAGACTTGATTCGTCTCCAGCAACATAATGAGAGGCTTAGAGTGCAGACCATCTTTTTGTCCTTACCTTTATATGACCTGTTTTACCTGAAGGTCTGGGTGGAGTTCTGGAAATCCCTGAGTTCACTTTCTTCATAATAATGTATCACTTCATTCAGAAAACTAAGGCAAACACCATAAGTGTGCATCTGATACAAACATGGACAAAGTTGGCAGTGTTTCAAGAAACCAACACAGAAGCTGGATAGTATCTATACGTCTTTACTGTGCATGTCTCTGTTTTACAGCTACTGCAGAAAACTTATGAACATGCTTTTCATGTTGTCTAGTTGTCCGCTAGTTGGTAGGTGGTGCTTTTTCTGACATTTCCTAACTTCTAGGGGACAGACACTGTTGTCTAGTTGTCCTTTAGTTGGTAGGTGGTGCTTTTTCTGAGAAAGGAAAACATTTCCTAACTTCTAGGGGACAGACAAGTTTATGTTGTCATAAGAATTAATCTTAAATGAAGTCTCTGCAGCCTTAGCTGACATCTTACATTGTGTTGTTTTAGGCAGGTCACTTTAAAACAGATGCAGACAGCATATTGACCAGATTTAAAGAAGTCTTGAAAGCATAATCATCTATAATGGCTAGCATGTTGTTAACTGTAATTGTTGCAGACAGATTGTTGTGTGCTTATTGAAGCAGCTGAGATTGATTGGTTGTTGATTGGTGTGTTGAGCAACATGCTGTTGATAATAGCAGCATGCTGGGTAGCTTAACTTGTGGTTTAGCTGGTTATTGTGTGCTATCAGGGCAGCATGGTGGAACAGTGATTCGCACTGTGGCCTCACAGCAAGAAGGTTCTGGGTTTGAGCCCCGGCTGACTCTTTCTGCATAGAGATTGCATGTTCTGCATGGGTTCTGTCTGAGTACTCCAGCTTCCTCCCACAGTCCAAAGACATGCAGCTTAGGTTGATTGGTGACTCTAAGTTGTCCGTGTGAGTGCGTGTGGTTGTCTGTGTCAGCCCTGTGATAGACTGGCGACCTGTCCAGGGTGTACCCCGCCTCTTGGCCAATGTCAGCTGGAACTGGCTAAATATTAAGTGTGGTGGACTGAAAAGTAACAGAATAAACCAGCAGACAATTAGTGGCACAAACATACCTTAATCTTGAGGGATTTTCTCATCCTTTTCCTTTTTTATTCTGTTTATTCTACCTGCTCCCCCCCCCTTTTTTGCATTATTCATTTTTTATGTCTCTGCAGGATGGGGGTGTTTAAGATTATAATACAAACAGTAAAGAATCACAGTATTATTCCTTGTTCTATCCTGTTTTCATGCTCTTCTTCCACCCTTGCATTCTGCAGTCAGAAGCTGCTGAAGAGCTCACGTTTCTTGCTCCACTCCATGAGGGGAGCTCTCTTCTTGTTGCGGCTAGCACGGACCTTTTGTTTAGCCTCAGCAGCTGTAGAACTCAGAACCAGTCCACTGTCCACAAAAGGGTCTGAAACTCGTCTGTCATCCTCATCAAAGACCTACAACACAAACAGTCATGCCTCTGATTTTCTGACAGTTTTGAAGGCTTCTTACATCATTTCTCTCTCTCTCTGTCTCTCTTACCTGGATGCTTATGTCTGAGTTGCTGATATCTGACTGAGTGGTAGAGCTTCTGGAGGAATGGGATGCTGAGCTCCCATTCGCCCGGGACTTTTGAGACATGTATGTGATTGGGGCGTCTGTCACTGTGACATTTATGATTTGTGGATTTGTGGTGGGGAGTTCAGGGGTGGAGCAAAGCGTGGATTTGATGCTTTCTGTGGCTGATTCATCCATGTAGGCCTCTGTGAGAAAACGAAGAGAAGACAACATTAAGAACGATGCCTCGAATAGCTGTGTGTATATCTCTGTGTGTGTGCTATTTGACCTTTGGCATGGTTGGTGATGGATGTGCTCTTTAGTCTGTGGAAGAGCTCGTCCATCTCCTGGTCGACTACTAGGAGACGTACTTCCTCCCGTCCTGATTTAATAAGGGCCACCACCTCTGAGTGTGTCAGGCCCTCTATGTTCACTCCATTCACCTAAGCCAGAGAAAAAGAAGACATCAGAGGAAACTGAAACGGTGAATGAAGACGAAGGAGAAAAAGATCCAGAGAAAACCACAATGTGCATTTTCTGAATAAAAAAAAGCGTGTGATTGCTACCCCTCCTTGAACCGCCACCTTATTGTGGTGGAGGGGTTTGAGTACCCGAGTGATCCTAGGAGCTATGTTGTCGGGGGGCTATATGTCCCTGGTAGGGTCTCCCAAGGCAAACAGGTCCTGGGTGACGGGTCAGACTAAAAGCGGTTCAAAAGCCCTTTATGAGTAGAATTCAACCAAGAACCATGACATCGCCCGGCATAGCGCAGCTGGGGCCCCTCCCTGGAGCCCCGCCCTGGAGCCAGGCCTGGGGTTGGGGATTGA